GACATGTTGCGCAGGCTTAACTGGTTTGCTCTTAGTATTTTTGATATAATTATCTGCTAAATATTCAACAGTCGTTTTCAATGTAGTTTTTTGATCGAATCCATGCGCTGATACCCGCAAGTACAGAGAGAGGACTGAAATACAAGCGCTAAGTTGGGGTGCATGACGTGTTCCGCTGACTCACTGCTGAAATTTACAATACGGCACTTCCACTGATATCTGATCAGTTAGTGTTCTGGTTAAGCCACTGAACTTCAATGTGGAAGATCTGCGGCTTAAATCCTGACTAGGTTGACATTATTATTTTTTTTTTTTTTGAGCAGCAGGGTCATAGTTCATGTATAAATAATTGCTGGGGTGTTTGTTGCTTTTTTTTTTTTTTTTTTTTTTTTTACCATTTTTAGTTATCTTCCTATTAAAAATTTTGTTTCTTTGCTTGTTTTATTGAAAATAAATCTGCTCCAGTGGAGTCAAACTTCTTTTCCTTTGTATGTATATATACTACTCAAAATTTGATAGGGATCATAGGAATTTTTTTGTGAAATGACATGCAAATTTGGTAACTGCCACTGATGAACAATATATTGGATAAATGACATGCAGTCAGACACAAAACACATTTGCAAGTGCATTTAATGACATTAAATGAGCGTGCAGCCTCACACTTTTGGCTTTCACGAACACTTCATGGTTTCACCTCTGACATGTAAAGTGAAAACAGACAGTGTTCGTTTGATGTTTCATTACCACAGTTAATGTCAATAATGGGTATGGCCTCCCCTAGCTTGAATGACGGCTTGACAACGTCGGGTCACACTGTCAATCAGAACCCGGATGCTTGCAATTGGAATGTTGTTCCATTCTTCAACAAGGGCATTTCCGAGCTCTTCTAGAGTTGTGGGTTGTGCCCTACGACCAGAAATGGCGACCTGCAGCATGTTCCACACATGCTTGATAGGGTTTAGGTCCGGCGAATGCGCAGGCCAGTCCATGCGGACAATTGTCTCCTGCTCTAGGAATTGATTCACCACCCTAGCACGATGGGGACGGGCGTTATCATCCATCAAGATGAAGTCAGGGCCAACAGCACCAGCGTATGGTCTTACGTACACATTGAGGATCTCATCCCTGTACCGTACACCTGTCATCGTCCCTCTCCCCATGACATGCAGGTCCGTTCTGCCGTTCCTGCTTATTCCTCCCCAAACCATAATTGATCCGCCACCATAACGGTCGTGTTCGTTGATGTAGGCATCATTAAATCGCTCACGTTGTCTTAGCCACACACCCGTTGCCTCCTGTCAGTAAAGTCCAAGCAATATCGGGACTCATCAGTAAAGAGAACTGGAGCCCAATCGTTGTGTGTCCATGTGACATGATCGTGAGCCCAATCCAAACGGTCACGGCTATGACGCACGGTCAGTGGGATTCGAACACATGGCCTTCTTGAGTTGAGGCCGGCAGTATGAAGACGATTCCGTATCGTCTGAGTGGATACCCGGACCCCCGAGGCGTTATGAAGGTCATTTCGTAGGGTGGTGGCTGTCCAGAAAGGATGACATCGTGCCTGAAGTGTGAGAAAGTGGTCTTGTCGTTGTGTAGTCGATCTCTGACGACCACCCCCATGACGGTGTGCTGCTGTACCAAACGTTTGATGCCGGTTCCGCGCTCTGTTCACAACGCTTTGGCTGACGTTAAGTGCATTAGCAACGTGACGTTGTGAGTAGCCAGAGTCAAGCATTCCGATGCATCTTCCCAATTGCTCTGAAGTCAATCGACGTCTAAGACGTTGAGGAGACATTGTTATTGCTAAATGTAATGCAAAAAATTTGGGAACTTCCAAATTTTCACCAACAAGCAACACACACGTCTGAGTTGAAATGGTGAAGTGTTCGTCAAAGCCAAAATGTGAGGCTGCACGCCCATTTAATGTCATGAAATGCACGTGCAAATGTGTTTTGTGTCTGACTGCATGTCATTTATCCAATATATTGTTCATCAGTGGCAGTTACCAAATTTGCATGTCATTTCACAAAAAAATTCCTATGATCCCTATCAAATTTTGAGTAGTATATTTTCTTTGAATGGGAAAATGTATTCAGCACTGGCAGAAAAAAAAAAAAAAAACATGAATAAAAAATGAATAAATAAAATTGTTGTAATTAGATGGAATATACAGTGCCGTGAAAAAGTATTTGCCCCCTTCCTGATTTCTTTTTTTTTTTGCATATTTGTCACACTTAAATGTTTCAGATCAGCAAATAAATTTTAATATTAGACAAAGACAACCCGAGTAAATACAAAATGTAGTTTTTAAATGATGATTTAATTTATTAAGGGGAAAAAGCTATCCAGACCTACCTGGCCTAGTGTGAAAAAGTAATTGCCCCCTAAACCTAATAACTGGTTGTGCCACCCTCTGCGACAACAACTGCAATCAAGTGTTTGTGATAACTGGCAATGAGTCTTTCACATTGCTGTGGAGGAATTGTGGCCCACTCTTCTTTGCAGAATGTTTTAACCCTCTATTAACCAAACCCATTTCCAATTGTGTTAAAATCATTTCCCTAGGCAAATATGTTGATTATGGGCCAATATTTGGAAAAATATTTAAAAAAAAAAATTTGAAATTTTTTTTTCAAATTTAAATTTAATTTATTTTTTTTTTTATTTTAAAATTTTAACTTGACGGACCATTCAAGTTATTCTCAAATGTTTATTTGGCAATAAGAAACAAAACCAGCAGGGTGTCCAGGCTGTTAACCCTTTCACTTTAAGTAGCAGATATGCTACGGTGGTTAATAGAGGGTTAATTCAGCCACATTGGAGGGTTTTTGAGGATGAACGGCCTGTTTAAGGTCATGCCACAGCATCTCAACCGGATTTAAGTCCAGACTTTGGCTAGGCCACTCCAGAACCTTTAGTTTGTTTTTTTTAAGCCATTCAGAGGTGGACTTGCTAGTGTGTTTTGGATCATTGTCCTGCTGCATAACCCAAGTGCGCTTGAGCTTAAGGTCACCAACTGATGGTTGGACATTCTCCTTCAGGATTTTCCGGTAGAGAGCAGAATTCATAGTTCCATCAATTACGACAAGTCGTCCAGGTCCTGAAGCAGCAAAGCAGCCCCAAACCATCACACTACCACCACCATGTTTGACTTTTGGTATGATGTTCTTCTTATGAAATGATATGTTAGTTTTACGCCTGATGTAACAGGATGCACTCCTTCCAAAAAGTTCAATTTTGTCTCGTCAGTCCACAGAATATTTTCCCAAAAGTCTTGGGGATCATCAAGATGTATTTGGCAAATGTGAGACGAGCCCTTGTGTTCTTTTTGGTCAGCAGTAGTTTTCGCCTTGGAACCATGGATGCCATTTTTGCCCAGACTCTTTCTTATTGTTGAATTATGAACACTGACTTTAAATGAGGCAAGTGAGGCTTGCAGTTCTTTAGATGTTGTTCTGGGTTCTTTTGTGACCTCCTGGATGAGTCGTCGATGCACTTTTGGAGTAATTCTTGTAGGCCGGCCACTCCTGGGAAGGTTCACCAATGTTCCAAGTTTTCTCCATTTGTGGATAATGGCTCTCACCGTGATTCGCCGGAGTCCCAAAGCCTTAGAAATGGCTTTGCCACCCTTTCCAGACTGATAGATGTCAATTTCTTTGTTTCTCATCTGTTCTTGAATTTCTTTAGTTCGCAGCATGATATGTTGCTTTTTGAGATCTTTTTGCCTACTTCACTTTGTCAAACAGGGTCTATTTAAGTGATTTCTTGATTCAACAGGTCTGGCAGAAATCAGGCCTGGGTGTGGCTAGTGAAATTGGACTCAAAAAATGTAGTTAATCACAGTTAATTCATGATCTAACAAGGGGGGCAATTACTTTTTCACATAGGGCCAGGTAGGTTTGGATAGCTTTTTCCCCTTAATAAATGAAATCATCATTTCAAAACTGCATTTTGTATTTACTCAGGTTATCTTTGTCTTATATTAAAATTTTTTGATGATCTGAAACATTTAAGTGTGAAAAATGTGGAAAAAAGTAAGAAATCAGGAAGGGGGCAAATACTTTTTCACAGCACTGTATGCCTGTAGTGACATATAAGTGAAATTAAATGAGCTATATGGTTTGGTACCTGAGAAATCTGAATTAATTTGGAGAGGGCACCAAGACATTCCCAAAATAAAACCTCTTTAATTTTGCTCTAATTTATTTGATTATAATAAACTTTGGCACAGATAATGGTGAGATTCTGTGCTTTAATTTTTTTTAGAGGTTTCAGACTGCAACTGCATAACTTAAGAGGGATAAAAATAAAACTTTGTTTGGTGCACATGAGATGTTTCATTTTTGCTGCATTCCATCTCAATTTACTCTGACTCAGTGACATAAACACTGATTTTTACACCACGACAGAAATCCCCAAGGTGTTACCTTTATTATGATTCCAAGATTATTCAAATGGACCAAGTTGTTGCAGAGATATACTCATTTCATTTTGAGCATGTCATTTTCGAGCCAGAGGCTCAGGGCTTAATTAAATACCTGTATCCAAGGAGCGGCCTCCAAAGAGCAATTTGGGAAGTACTACCTTCAGGACAGGTCTGGTAGTCTATTGGAATGAGACATCAGAATCTCACGGCCAGAGACATGGTGCACTTACCTCTGGCTTTATTTTTTCTGAGAAGCCCTCCCTCCTGTTGACTTTGGCACACGTCTGCAAGTAGTAGTGAGCCTTGTCAATCTTCCCATTTACAATCAACCACCTTGCAGACTCTGGGACCCATCTATCAGGAACAAAAAAACGTCACACTCGGCACAGTCGTGTAAGTATTTGCAGACTGATACAATATTTAAAAAAAAGGCTGCTGTTCCTACGTGGTTCACGTAATATGGAAACAGATTTACACAAACTAAAGCATTGTCCACACCATTATTGATATTATGCTGAATACATATTTCGCGCCCCCCTACCATTTGAAAAGAAAAATCTGTGCGAGAGCTGCCGGATAGCTCACTTGGTAAAGCAGTACGTTGCGAAGCAAAAGTGACTATCACGTTGCGGGTTCGATCCCTGCTGGCAGCTTTTTCAGAGTAGCGCACAATTGGCTATTGCGCTACAGGGTTGCAAATTGGAAAGGGACTGCCGTGAGTGGAAAATAATAGTTGCCTTGTTCGTTGCTCAAGCGCCTCCAGTTGGCCAGACGGGCGCTCGTCAGGAAGATTCTAAGCCTGTTCATGTCCAGGTAGCGCCTATCGTTTTTCCAGAGCCATGTAGAGAGAGAGTCGCGCCAACGGAAGTCCAAAATTCTTGATCGTCACGTGGTTCATGGAGACTGCAAATAGTTCCAGGAAGTTATTGGCGGTCAATTTAAATGCATTTGTCAAATAGGCTAGATAGAGACGTAACTGCGATTTTTCGATAATTAGTCGTCAGTAATTAGCGTTATTTCTGTCTTTTTGACATATATTAGGCTTGAGTTAATGTTAGCCATCTAATCTAAGCGACATCTACGTTAAACAACCGCGAAAAAGCTACATTTCACAGTAGAATTGTGAACATTTGCACCCAATATATGCACTATTCACAAGCAGTTTTAGTGCCTTAAAAGTATTAAAATAATCAATTTACTAAAACAAGTTTTTGTCATTTTAAAGAGTGTGTTCTTGTTGTTGATTGCTTTGAATTTTTTGTTTTTGGTTTTGTCTACAATGCAAGTTTAATCCCATCCGAATGTTTTGATAAATGCAGAGGGAGGGGAGGGAAGGTTTCAAAATTCGGTTTGATTTTGTCATTTCTTTAATTGTTTGTAGTTTTAATAATCCCAAGGAAATTGAGGACCTAAGTGAACAATTCAATGACTCATTTAATCTTCGTGACTTTCAGAGAGGACAGAAGACCGACAGGTGTCTATCAATGATTATAAACTGACAGCACAATGAGTTACTGAATTACTAGCAGCAGCTAATAATGTTAAGTGTGGTATCTTAGAAAATGCATCGCAAATAATTAAAATTTATCTGTTTACAATTCTTATGCACCCCTGCACTTATAACTATACATTGATGCATAAATTCAAAGAACTTTGTTGTTGACTTTTTGCACAAAAAAGGTATAAATTTATCTTAGGCTTGCATGTACAGAAATGTTTTTAAAAGGGTTAATTGAACACACCATGTCCAGACAGTACAGGACACATTAAAACACACATTCATATCATTATACACATGCAGACACTTACATTTCATGTATCTTTTCATTTTGAATTTATATACTGCAATTACTTCATGAAAAGGAAATCTTGAATAAACTCAGAAACATGAATGGCATATCAAGCAGTTTGTCTGTGCCCTTTCCTCCATATTGTCCTTGTATTTAGTCTCCACCATAGTTTGCTGTGCTGCACGGGGATGCTCCGATCGCGGGGGAATTGAGTACAAATGTACGGTTTCTCCTGTGACGTGGAGAAGAAGAGAGAAGAGAGAAACTGAGAGCTGCCAGCTTATACTTTGAGCTGGCCAGGAGGATTTCGAGGTGCAAATGGGAGAGAGATGAACTCAACTTTCCTCCCTATTTTAATGGAAGTTCGACCATCACCACGTATTTTGCGAGATTTCACTAAGTATGTGCTCATGTTTGTTTTATGATGGTGGCAACATCTTCCATAATGTGTATTCATGTTAGCGATCCTCTCATACTTATCCTGTCTACTTATTATTGGCCACAAAATGCACTGAGCGGATTTCACTGTACACCCTGTGTTCTATGCACACTTGAACAAGGGAGATAAAACAAATGTGGCTCATATTGAATGCAATACATTTCTTGGAGCCTCAGCAAAATTATTGGTCTTATGTCTCAGTCTTTATCAGAGTTTCATTTTTATCAGGTCCACATAAATAACACATGCAGTGTGTCGTCTTAGTAAAAGCGTAAAATGTATGATGAATTATCCTAAAAAATGGAGGTTCCATGGCACATTCGTAGCTTTATGGGGTCTTGGAGGAAGCTCGCAAAATATGCGGTGATGGTGGAGCTCCTAATTGAAGGTGGAGCTCCCTGTGCAATTGGGAGGAAAGTTGAGCTTGTTTATCTCCAGCTTGCACCTCATAGTCCTCGTAGCTCAAAGTATGGACTGGCAGCTCTAAGGTTTGGACTGGGAGAAGTGTGTTTCCCCCCAAGCTAGCCCTCACCTCGCTCTAGCTCACCAGCGAGGCTCACTCCTCCCAGTTTGGGAGTGCACCCCTACTGGAGAAGAGAAAAACTGAAGACTCACTTCAGCAGGAGCAATCTGTCAATCATGAAAAACTACAGCAACAACGAAAATGTGAGGTAATCATATTCAGACACTGCACTTGCACTTTTTCACAACCAAAGACGACACAATTTAGATGTTTATTGTCCAGTTTTTATTAAAAATAAGGAACAGGGAAGGGCTTGCACAGCTTAGAGAGTTAAGACTCTAGGTGCAGGGTGTCGTCTGGTCCCATTGCAGGGAGTCCTCTGCCTCTTCTGAAATCCCCTGTTCTGCTGAAAGAGAGAGTGGGGGAGAGAAAGACAGGAAAAGGGTTAGACACACCTATATGGGCTTGAATGGGAAATTGTGGTGAGAGATGAGGTGTGGTCATTGTTTCCCAACTGAAGTTATTGAACTTAATTAGTTGTGATCAACAGCTTTGGCTGCTGATGTTTAACAAAGTATGGCACGTGGCATCAGTTACGGATGTGACTGGAATTTGTATAAAGTTGGATCGTGTTCTTTGCAGTCTTTCAGATAAGTCATACAGTACAGCTCAATATTTTTGGTATTCAGTAGGATTCCCCACTTAGCCTTCTGTGCTTCCTTTTCCAACATTTTTTTTTTTTGGCCAATTTAGCCAATACGTTGTTTTCAGTCTTCTATTTGGTCGTCCAGCTTCCCTCTCTCTTAATCATCAATCCAAAATTAGCTGAGCAGCAACATAATATTGACAGGTAATGGTCAATAGAATGTCAAATCCTAAAACACTCAAACAATAGATAACATTTTAGTTTACTGTATAGAAGAGAAAAAAATCGCTTCTTCGATCAATATTAATAGCGATATATCACAGCAAACGATGGCTCTCTTATCTCTCATTGTGTAACGTTCACTTTATTACTATACTAGCCAACGTTAGCTACCTTGTAGGGGAGAGCGGGGGCAAACGGATCATTTTTTCGTATTACCCTCTCTGCACAGAGACGCATTTTTTTAAGGTAACCATTTTTTTTATGTGAACAACGTACATGTCCTCTACAAATCCCAACCAAGTCTGCTAAGATTGGATGAACAAGTATGACGTAATCGGACAGGAAAATGCATCTGCGCGTTGATCCGTTCGCCCCTGTCTGTGGGGACAAACGGATCAAGTGACAGGGTCGAACGGATCAGCTGCATAAATCGACCACAAAACTATTAAGTACTTAATATTATTTGCATATAACACTCATTTAAGCTTCAGTTGATACCTTTAAGCAAATGAAGATGTTGAATTCATATCATACCAGTTTAGCTATCATGTGACTAGGCTACATTCTGTATTTTGCTTGCCTTCACCGGCACTTACCGCACGTCCCTCCTTCAATTAACGGCAAGGCAAGTCATCCAGCTGCTTTAGTTGAGGTAATTTGTTTCAGATAATGTTTTTCTGTTCTTATCAGCCCTTTCCACAAGATATTTTCTCTTGTCATTAAGGGGAAATGACAAAATATTCATAAATAAATGGTTATGTAAACATGGGAATAGAATAGTCTGGTAACCCGTTTAAACCAATTTATGACTGCCATCTACTGGCTTTATGGGCTTCGTGCACAGCTCCACTACTTCCGGAACTTAAACCAGCTCCTTTGTTTCTTGTCCTTCATTATTGGACAGTGATCCGTTTGACCTGGACTGCAGTGATCCATTTGCCCCGCTACAGTCTCCCTCCATATTTTGCCGGCGAGCATCTTACATAAGCTAGCATGAAAAATGAAACATTCACTGATTGTTAGCATACATATAGGTCTTTTAGATGCTATACATTTACAGTCCTCAACTAATAAACATAAACCTTGAAAACGGAAAATACTGTCTCTTGATTTTTTTTAATCATCGAGGGAAAAATCCTTTTTGTCGTCGCTCTCCGCCAAGATAGGTCCGATCGCTCTGAAATTTAAATACCGAGTGGATGGCGGGAGACCGTGCCTGTGTACCAAACGGCAACCTCCGGATTACAGTGTAACAGGGAAAAATGTCTGTGATCCGCTCGCCCCGCTGATCCGTTTGCCCCCGCTCTCCCCTACTCAAAGAAAACCTCAATTCACCTCCACTACTATAGCCAGTATGATGTTATATTAAAGGGGACCTATTACGCTGATCCTTCTTTTAATACATATTAGTAATGTTATAATGTTGGTTGTCCATGCTCAACCTCTGAAAAGTTTCTAAACATAAGATACAGGGGTTTTGCCGTAATCCAAGAACGTGATTTCGTGAGCGTGATTTCCTCTCTGAACAGCTCCTCCCGAGATCTTCATGAGATCTGGGTAAAACCTGACGTCAGGTTGTGCCATCCAATTAGTACAGACCTAGCCAGAGCCAATCATGATGCTGGACCTGCCCACACCGGAAACTATTCTAGCAGGCACTAACAACGGCAGATCATACTATGCCTCAGTAGCGTTGACACTTTTGGAAATACAAAAGAAGAACCGCAGATCATTTGAGCTGCAATTTTGTTAGTATCTCTCCCAAAGCTACTTGTCCGTTTACTTTTTTGGACGCGAAGAAAAACAAATATTTTTCTTCGAAAAGACGATGCCACCAGAAATCAGTGGGTAGCTTTTTTTTGTTTGCAGGCAGCAAACAGCCACGGCCAAAGGGAACGTTAGCTGATTGTGCTCAGCATTTCATCAAAGACAGCTTTATCAATAAAGGATAATTCCACACAGGATAAGCGTTTCAGCTGCTTCTCAAACCTGAAGCAGTTGCATCGATCAAGCGCTCGGAGCCACAAGCTGTAAGTAACCATATAACAGCAAATAATGCAAGTGAAGCTAACGTGTTACGGGTGGCTAGCAGG